GGTCGCTGTTGAAGGGTCGGAAAGGAATTTCCCTGCGTTGGCAGGTTTTGCCTTTCCCGTAGCAAAACATCACAACTTTGGCGGTATCAGGCCTTGGGCGGAATCCTTTAGTCTATCTTCCTCTTTGCAGAGGTGATACCAGGGTTCCCCGTTAAAGGGGTTTCTGAAGGGAGGCTTTGACCGTACGCCGAAAGGTCGTCATTGCTCTCCCCTGCGGCGGCGGCGTAACGGGGGTGGCTATCTCTGCTTCAACATATGTTCTCCAGAGCCAGCCCATCCCCCCCCCACTGGATAACCCTGATGTTCCCTAGGTCCCCGGCCGGGGACTGGGGAGGGAGAACGCCCAATGCCTGAGCCAAGGTCTACCCACATCTGAAATATAATAAAGTTGTGGCCAATTTAATCCCATAGCACGTTGTCTTGAGTCGTTATTCCACATGACGGGGGGGGGCGCCCAGGATCTGGGGGACTCCGCCTGTTCACACAAAGTTGAGCTTGTTGAGCTTTTTTAAGGAAACGATCCAGCCTTCCAAAAATACGGACGTATGGCAGCCCTAGCTAAGCCCTGTATGTGCAATGTGAATATGCCAGGAATTAGTAGTCCAGAAGAATGGTTAGGCCCAGCGACAGCGTTTGAAGGCGATATACAAGTGGAACCTCCATGCAGCTTCTGCTCCTTAAGAACAAACAATGGGGCCAAACAACAGAGGATGTCCATTACCACCCAAATCCTGCATGTGAACTTATAGAATAGAAGTGGGTAATCCACAAAGCACAAGGCACTGGGCTATTCGGTGTTATAAAAGCAAAGCTGGTGTTTAGAATGCAAGAAGAGCCTGCTGGATCAGGCCAATGCTGTGCCGGATTGATGTACGGTGGTACCTCAGGTTAAGAACTTAATTCGTTCTGGAGGTCCGTTCTTAACCTGAAGCTGTTCTTAACCTGAGGTAACACTTTAGCTAATGGGGCCTCCCGCTGCCGCTGCGCCGCTGCTGTGCGATTTCTGTTCTCATCCTGAAGCAAAGTTCTTAACCTGAGGTACTATTTCTGGGTTAGCGGAGTCTGTAACCTGAAGCGTCTGTAACCTGAAGCGCCTGTAACCTGAGGCACCACTGTATAAGCTGAACAAGCTATAGCTTAGGACCCCACTCTCTTGCCCCCCCCAAATATACTTCTTCTTAATTGTATTTCACTATTGATATACTTCTTAATTGTATTTCAGTTCAACAATTACCTTGATAAAATACATATTTTGAAATGGGCAAATGGCTTTAGATACCTATAAGGTCCATAAATTACCATATAGCATATATTCAACTCAAGAAACAGCAACAATTTGTTGTTGACAAAGGAGAGCTGGACATATAAAGGGCCCCATTACCTTCAGTAGCTTAGGGCCTCATCAAACCTAAATCCGGCCCTGGGCCAATGCCCCACCTGGGTTAGTATGCCTATGCCTATGAAATAGCCCAAGGGCAGGACATGAGCACAACAGCACTCTTCCCTCCTGCAGTTTTCAGGAACTGGTATTCAGAAGCATTACTGCCTCTGACACTGGGGAATACCCTCCAACATTTCTCCGATGAAAATAGGGACGTCCAATTCTATAATAATAATTTTACTGTTTATACCCCATCCATCTGAATGGGTTGCTCCAGCCACTCTGGGTGGTTTCTGACACACACACACACACACACATATATGTGTGTGTGTGTGTGTGTGTAACAAAACATTAAACATTAAAGAACTTCCCTATATAAGGCTGCCTTCAGATGGCTTGGGGTTCAGATAACTCCATACCCTTAGATGAAAATAGGGACATCCTAAGGAAAAGTGAGGGACGCGGGTGGCGCTGTGGGTTAAACCACAGAGCCTAGGGCTTGGCAATCAGAAGGTCGGCGGTTCGAATCACCGCGACAGAGTGAGCTCCTGTTGCTCGGTCCCTGCTCCTGCCAACCTAGCAGTACGAAAGCACGTCAAAGTGCAAGTAGATAAATAGGTACCGCTCCGGCGGGAAGGTAAACGGCGTTTCCGTGCGCTGCTCTGGTTCGCCAGAAGCGGCTTAGTCCTGCTGGCCACAGGACCCGGAAGCTGTACGCCGGCTCCCTCGGCCAGTAAAGCGAGATGAGCACCACAACCCCAGAGTCAGCCACAACTGGACCTAATGGTCAGGGGTCCCTTTACCTTTACCTTTACCTTTAAGGAAAAGTGGGACATTCCAGGATCAAATCAGAAACTGCGATGGCTTTTGTAAATCTGGGACTGTCTCTGGAAAATAGGGACACATGGAAGGTCTGGTGGAGTCTGGGCATAACCATCATGGCTGGTAGCCATTGTATTCATCACTTCCTCCTATATGTCCTGCTGTCATTTTAATAATAAATAATAAGAAATTTGTATTTATACCCCACCCTTCCTGGTTCAAAAACTGGGCTCAGGGCAGCTAACAACAAATTTAAAACACTTAATTGATGCAACAAAAAAACAGGATAAAATGTGAATAACAATAAATTCAGAATTCAAAAATCAATTTAAGTAAGCACCTTGACTCCAAATTCTTCATTTTATCTGATAATTTCATTTTATCTAGTCCAAGAAAGTAGCACTGTATCCTGGGTATCCTTTGTTAGCATGTGTAATATAAATGACCCCCATGTGGGGATTCTGACGAGCCGTCTCAATACATTTGGCTGCCTGAGGACAAGCTGGCGTCTTCCCCCAAGACACATACAGAAGCCCGTTAGACTAGTAGTTGACTCTTACTCCAATACTGGTGAACGTGTCTTCCATTGTGCTTGAGGGCAGCAGCAGGCGAGCATAGGTGGTACAGGGCCAGCCACATGACACTCCCCTTGCCTCAGCACCACCACCTGAGGCAGCTGCCTCACTCTGCCTCATCTTAGAAATGGCCCTGGTGTTCTGGAACACACAGACTCATTCCTCCTTTGCTTGGTCCCCAATGCAATCAAGTCATTCATTAATTAGCAGTCCGGAGTCCTAGAGGGAGAAAGCTCCCCAAGACATTGCATGGTAGGCACACAAAGCAACCATGAACGTTAGGAAGTGCCACCCAAAATGTGCACTCATAACGAGTGCTATTTTTCTAGAAAAAGAGGTGCAGGAACTCACTATGAACACCTCCCTCGTTCTCTTAGAATGGCAAAGGCAGCTGCCTGAGAGGTGCCGGAACTGAGTTCCGGCAAGTTCTGGCTGAAAAAAGGTCTTGCTCATAACCCCCCTTGCGCAACAACATACCTGTGTTCTCATCACCCATGGCTGATACCCTTCACCTCTTTTGTTTTAGAAAGCATCCATTGTATTTGCGACAGGGGTTGCTAACCTGTGGTCCTCTGGATATTGCTGGCCTCCATCTCCAACCATCCTACCCAATGGTCAGAGATTATGGGTGGGAATGGCAGTGCAACAATATCTAGTGGGCAAGAGGTTAGACACCTTTAGGAGAAATCTCAAATTATGGATTCAGTGAGGTTAAGTCAAACCAAGTCTGTTCAGCCTCCTTCTCTCTCACCCACCCAAATATGATTACATTTATATCCCTTCTTTCCTCCAATGATCTCTATCCTGGGAGGTAGGTTAGGCTAGGGTATGTGTGGCTAAGACATGGTCACCCAGTGAGCTTCGTGGCTGATTGGGATTTGAACCCTGATCTCCCAGGTCCTGGACACACACACACACACACACACACACACACACACACACAATATTGGGCATGTGGTCTTATCTTGGCTCTGCACTCATCATAATTCTGCACAGACGCAAATTTAAAAAAGCTCCATTTCTCAGTCAGTCCAAGGTCAGCATAATATATCTGCCATACTTTTCCAGAAGTTTGAGTGCTGTGATAAGAGGGGAGGAAAAACGCTAGTAGATTAAAGAATAATAATATTAAAAATTCTCTTAAGTTCCTGTATTAGTAGCGATACCTTCACAATTGATGTTGAGTTAAAAAGAATTTCTCCATTTGATGGTGTATTATTATCTGCAGCAACAAATCCTTCAGCATAGACTATAGCTGCCATTGCCTGGAGGAAAACCTAAGGACATTTGAAAGAGCAATGTTCTGGGTAAGTTGTAAAGGAGTATTCAGTTTGGAGTTGTTAGAGTGAAACCAAGCAGGAAGGTTTGATGTATTGCCAGAAGGCTTTATCTTTAAAAAAAAACAACAAAAAAAACACACGCACAAAAAAACTTTATAATCAAACACAAAGGAAAGACGGCTGCATAGTTTGTTGTTCAGTGGAACATGAAAAGTTGTTTTCCTTTCATTAAAAGGATCTCTTTTTACATGTAGCCTTATCTAAAGACAGCACATACTGTAGATCGTATTCAAAGTACAGGATTAATCCATTTCAATGGAATTTTGATATTAAATGGGGTGTGTACGGGGGTGGAATAAGTCTCATAGGGGCACACAAATGGGAATTAGAAAAATGGAGTGGAGGTTTGTTGAACAGATGGATAATTATGCAGCAATTGTAATGCAAGTATAATAAGGTAGTTATTGAACATTTAGGCTGCGACCCTTCACACAGGGTGCTTCCAGAAGACTTGTTTATTGAGCATTCATCCTGACTTGTCTGTGGGGAGATTAGTAGACCTCAGCTATTTAATGAGTATTCATTCTGGCTGTGTGTGTGTGTGTGTGTGTGTGTGTGGAGTTTAAAGGACGTTGCTTCAAGCAAATGTTATCCCACAGCTTTCACTGCACTTCCCCACCACTTTCTTTGATTACAAAAAGTCTGGAACTTTTGGAGAAGTGGATTTGTTTTGCAAAAGCTCCAAATCAACTTTAATTGTGCAAATAAAACAACAACAACACTGCACAACTTGAATTCACCAGTATGTACTTGACTGCCACCAGGAAATAATGACAGTCTGGAAGTACCCACCATTAGGGTTTTTTAATGGGATTTTCAATGGGATTTAAATGTGGCAAAGTTGATTTATTATACAATGTATATAGTACATATCATCAATAAGCAAGGATACGTAGCTCAGTTGGTAGAGCATGAGACTCTTAATCTCAAAAGGCTTCTTGCATTGAACAGAGTTGGACTAGATGATCCTTGGGTTCACTTCCAATGCTAGAGTTTTATGATTCTATGATTCTACTACTACTACTACTAATAAATAATAATATATTTTTTTTATTTATACCCTGCCCTCCCCAGCCAAGACCAGGCTCAGGGTGGCTAACACCAGGTATAAAAACAATTGATTAAAATACAACTTAAAAACAAGATTAAAATGCAACATTAAAATGCAGCCTCATTTCAGTAGAAACTCAAATCAAAAACTTTTGGGGGGATGAAGACATCAAATCTTCACCAAGGCCAACTATCTAGACTGGTCCTACGTGGGCCAGAAAAAAGCCAGGGAAGTTCCCAATTAGGAGTTCCATCACAGAAGGAAAGAGGGGGAGGGGATCAAGTTGATTCCAAGCCAAAGGTCAGGCGGAACCATTCTGTCTTACAGGCCCTGTGGAAAGAAATCAGATCCTGCAGGGCCCTGGTCTCGTGAGACAGAGCGTTCCACTGGGCCGGAGCCAATGTTGAAAAGGCCCTGGCTCTGGTTGAGGCTAATCTGCTTGAGGCCACTACTACTACCACTACTACTACCACTTCTACTATGGACATACATAATCTTAGAATTGTAAGGCTGCACTGCAGAAGTATGCATTTAACAGCTTAATTCCAATTGACTAAAAGATGATTTTGGTGTGTCTAACCCTGATGGGAAGGCTCTATGACCATTCCAATGTTATGGAACTCCAGCTCCCGTCAGTCCCTGCCACCATGGCCACGGTCTGGGTTGAGCTGTAGCCCAGTGACATACGGAGGCCCCCATATGCAAGGCATTACAATAATCTGACTAAGTTGCTTATGAGGAACACAGATAACGGTGACCTAGTTCTCTCTGTTCAGAAGGGAGCTACAGGAGGGACCAGGAACACCTGTGCCGCCTGCAACCAAACTGGGTCAATCAGCGCTTCCAGATCCTGGACCTGAACCAAACGATAAACCTGAGTGTGGTGTAGCAGCCAGGTTCACACAACGAACCCACAAAACCTCTGGTTAAAAGTTCTGAATAATTCCAGTTGGGTGTCAGGCTTCAGGGAATCTGACCCCCCTCCCTCATGGAAGGCTGCCAGCAAGGGAAAGACAAGAAGCTCTTATCAAGGTATTTTATTCACAGAGACATAGGATGCCGTCCCTTGGATAATGGCGTTGCTCCGAGTAGTCTCCTCCTCCCTTTTACTCTCAGTCATCAGCAGCTCCACCCCTTGTATGGTGGCTGCGTAAGGCCCTTTGTCAATTCGCTTTCTTCTCTCCCACTTCCACTGCTCTCCGGGTCCTTGGAGAAGGGGCATCTGGAATGATAATGATTCTAATGATAATGTGTCAGCCAGCTGCTCTGGCTCTGCTGCACCCCCCTCCCCTTCTTCCATTATCTCCCAGCTTTGTCCCTCTTCTGTCTCAGAGTCATGACCTTCTGCAAACCACCACTGAAAATCTGTACTGTCCTCCTCTTCCTGGGAAGGTTCAGGAGGAGAAGGGGCGGTCTCCACCATTCCTCCTCAGTCCAGTCCCTGCCATTGGGTTTGAACAAGAAAGGGAGAGAAGAGGAGACTAAATCCTGGCCCCTGCTCCCCATACTGACCAGAATTCATAATACAATGGAACCTTGAGTTAAGAACTTAATTCGTTCTGAAGGTCCATTCTTAACCTGAAACTGTTCTTAACCTGAAGCACCGCTTTAGCTAATGGGGCCTCCCACTGCTGCCGCTGTGCCGCCACATGATTTCTGTTCTCATCCTGAAGCAAAGTTCTTAACACGAGGTACTATTTCTGGGTTAGCGGAGTCTGTAGCCTGAAGCGTCTGTAACCTGAAGCGTATGTAACCCAATGTACTACTGTACTTAACTGGGGCAAATGCAGCCCTGGTTTGTGGACTGAATTGGGCACATGATTCACCATCCAATTTGGTAGCCTGCTTTTGCGTGCATAATACATACAGATGAGTCAGGATAGTTGAGTTGTATCCAGCAGTTATGTATTCTGCGGGGGGAAATGTTTGCTGCTTGTTTGTACCATTGGCTGTAGGATATTTCTTTTATTGTTCAGATAAATATAGCAAATAATTTCTTGCTCACTGCTCCTTTTCATATATGGTCTCATTCTCAGTTTCCTTTCCCCTCCCCGCTGGAGAGTTCTTGCTTATATAAGTCTCCTCAAGTAATAGCAGCATCATACCAGTAGTAGTACTTACTACACCTTTAAATACCTTTCCCCAGTTGCACATTATTCTTTTAAACACAGAGACGAATATAGCACTGTGGCAAAATAAGACACTGAATTAATTGCATTTCTGTAGATAATAAATCTTAAGTTAGCATTTATTAGCTTGTAAAAGAAAAAAAAGACACAATAACTGTGACAATATTAATTGCATTTGGTAAATTAAAAACTCGTGGAAAATTGTGTAGGTTTTTTTAAAGTAGAACTTTCCTTATGAGTCTGTTAAGGGCTTTGACAAGATAGTCTAACAGAGTTCCTCAAATGCCCCCAAATAGTTTGTGAGGGACCTAAAGTGCTTTAGTGAACACATATTTTGACACAAAACTGCTTATTCCATTAGCCTGGATGTGCAATTTTCTCAAAGCCCATAACACAAGCTGTAATTTCTTTATGTCGATTGTAGCATATTTGTAGGCCAGACCCAAACTAAGAACAATTATTCAAGCTTAGGTTTGTTTTTGTTATGAGATCACGCATCTCTGCTGTCAACCACACTTGTGTCACCAGTCGTAATGAAGAGACTGTGGTTAGGTTTTCCGTACCAGTTCTGGAGGACACAAGTGGAAGTTATGCTATTTAATTCTATGGATTTCCAGGATTCTATATCCTTATTGCAGAATGATGATACATCTCAATAAAATACATTCCTGGAGCCAGATCATCTTATCCTTACACTCCAAAAGTTAGTACATTTATTGGGAAAATATATCCTTTGTACATGGTGGATGTATGTTTTGATTTGTTGCTTCATAAATATCAGTGTGGTTACATATTCTGCAGCAAGACAGCCACGTGGATCTGAAAAACACCATCATGTGTTCTAAGAACATGTTTACCTGAATTTCCTTCTTGTCTCTGGAGACCTCGGTTGGCCTTCTAGTCATTTTTAAATATTGCCATCTCTTTGAGCACCATAATATAATGCAAATAAAGGGCAATGGTGAGTAAGCCCCCAAAGCAAAAGCACCAAACCAAATTCAGAATTTTCCATTTATTTCTTCCTCACCCTTCTGTTCCAGTGTTTCAGACTGTTCCCTAGAATATTGCCCCTGTCAATCAAGACATGAAGACAATAATGTTTTGTTCCTTCTAATACCAGCAGTCTCATACTCAACACTGAACAGGAATTCTAAGAAACCAAATGATGAGTGCAGTTTTGAAAGTCTCAGTCTGCCATCTTGATTCAAAATGAATCCTCACCCTGAAGGCGAGTCTCACAATTCCACAGGTGCCCAAGGGCTCTCAGGGGTCCTTAACACTATCTGCTGAATTTTCTGCACCTGCCTATTTTTATGACTCCCACATCTAAATGCTTCCTCTCATCACATGGTCAGTATAGAATGGGGAGAGGGCAGCTGTAAGCCGCATCCCCTCAAAAGTTGATTAAGACAGCCATATTTTCCTGCACTTAAACTGAGAGGATGGGTGAAGAAATCCCTAGAGGCTGGATAGAGGGTAAGGAAATAGTCCCAGGTGCCACCCCCCTCTTATGTAAGTGTGACTGCATTTGCTCAGCCCACATTCCCTGCAAGGTGTCAATACCAGCCCTTCACCTTCACCACTTTGGCAGGATTGCTCCCATATGAATGCCCTTTTCTTCTGCGACCCCAGAGACCTCAGCCTCATTTCTCCACACTGCTTCCACTCCCTATCAATACAATTATTATCTCGGAAGATGATGGATTATTGGAGCACCTGAATGTTGACTCCCTGTCTGTATGCTGACTGATCTGTTTGTTTACGTGGTTGTTTATTTATTCCCTTCTTAGTCCATCTCGCGGATTCATAGAGCCCTCTAGGTGGCTGACAACAAATAAAATATAAAACAATAAAATACACCTTGTAAAGCAGCAGGAACACCTAAAGAATCAAGTCAACAAACAGGCTAAAAGTGGTAATAAAATATATCCTTATCCAATTTTCAGCAGCTGGTACATTGATTACAGCTGTAATTTAGAATTGCAGAGGGAGGGCTGAGTCAAATGAACATTTTGAAGTGCTGAGAGATGTGGGTTCAGCAGAGGTTGAGACATAGCTCTCTCACTACTTGTGCAATTTTTAAAAAGAAGAATGGCAATGCTTCAGCATGCGCAGAGATGCTGGTTGCTTAAATGATTTTGAAAAGGGGCTACATTTTAGCCTGCCAGCATGTGAGCCTGCTTTGACCACCTTACCCCTCCAAGCTTCAGCAGTTCTCCAACGTGTATCCTGCTTGGTTTGGTCATGACCTGCAAGATCCAGAAGTGACATAATCAATGGATGCCATTGAGTTGTTGGATGACCTGGAATTGGAAGGTAGAAGCAAGGAGCCTCCAGAATGAAGGAAAAGTGTGGGGCCAAGGGCTGGTGTTGAGGAGCTGTAGATTCTAAAGGCAGGCAATGTAAGGGGATGAAAAGAGACAGGACCCAGAAGTTCATAATGAATGGGTGACAAGTGAGGCTAATATACCCTGGCTGAGAGCCAGCCATCTCAAGGATGTGCCTGAGGGCTACAGAGCTCCTTCCTTGATGGAAGAAGAGATGAAGGGTCAGGAGATGAATGTCTGCTGGGACATGCTGGCTTTTATGCGTTCCCATGGAATAATATTGGCAGGATTGATTTCTGACATGTAGTTCATTGGTGAGGACGCTTACCTCCAACCCACCTCCTGTCCAATTTCACCCAGTGCACTTGTTATCGGGATAAATATGCATATGTACACATGCAGCTGGATAAGGAAACTCTTGCATGAAGTATCTGAGGATTCTATAATGCAGCCTTCACCGACACCTGCTGACTGGGGCACGT